CGGGGTTTCACCATGTTGACCAAGATGGTCTCGATCTCTTGACCTCGTGATCCACCCGCCTCGGCCTCCCAAAGTGCTGGGATTACAGGCTTGAGCCACCGCGCCCGGCCGAAACCCCATCTTTACTAAAATATAAAAATTAGCCTGGCATGATGGCAGGTACCTGTAATCCCAGCTACTCAGGAGGCTGAGACAGAAGAATCACTTGAACGTGGGAGATGGTGGTGGCAGTGAGTCAAGATCGCACTACTGCACTCCAGCTTGGACACTAAGCAAGACTCCATCTCAAGAAAAAAATAAAAGCTGGGCACTGTGGCTCATGCCTGTAATCCCAGCTCTTAGGGAGGCAGTGGGGGAGGATAGCTTGAGCCCAGGAGTTCGAGACCTGCCTGGGCAATATAGTGAGACCTCGTTCTCCACAAAAAGTAGAAAAAAAAAAAAAAGGAAGACAGCTGGGTGCACTGGCATACGCTATGGTTGTTGCTACTCAGGAGGCTTAGTTGGGAGGATCCCTTGAGCCCAGGAATTTGACTGTAATGCATTATGCAGTTTGGGTGTTTGCACTAAGCTCAGTATCAATATGGTAACCTCCCAGGACAGGGGACCATCCAGGTCACCCCTCCAGGTGACCACCCTTATGGAGGGGTGAAGCAGCCCAGGTCAGAAATGGAGCAGGTCCAAACTCTCAGGTTGGGCTGGTCTGATGGTAGTGGGTTATTAGAATTTAATAACATTAATGTCACTAAAGTTGGTATACAACCCCCCCTGCTAAATTTGACTGGCTTAAAATTTTTTTTTAAAAACTCCAAAGCTCCCATGCCGATCAGTAGTAGGTTGGCACCTGTGAATAACCACTGCACTCCACCCTGGGCAACACGGCAAGACCCTGAAATGGGGACAGACTTTAAACATATTAGAAGTCCAATGAATAAGACGACTTTTGCATGGTAGATGTTGGGGTGGGGTTGAGTAAAAGGGAGTGTCAAGAATAACTCACCCTAGGCCAGGCACAGTGACTTACACCTGTAATCCCAGGACTTTGGGAGGCCAAGGCAGGTGGATCACCTGAGGTCAGGAGTTTGAGACCAGCCTGACCAACATGGCGAAACCCTGTCTCTACTAAAAATACAAAACTTAGCTGGGCGTGGTGGCGTATGCCTGTAATCCCAGCTACTTGGGAGGCTGAGACAGGAGAATCCCTTGAACCAAGGAGGTAGAGGTTGCATTGAGCCAAGATTGAGCCACTGCACTCCAGCCTGGGTGACAGAACAATAATCCATCTTTTAAAAAAACACTCACCCCAAACCTCCAGGCTGTTTTTTTTTTTTTTTTTTTTGACAAATCTTATTTTATTCAGATAGCAATCTGATCACACATGGTCCAACAACACTCAAATAATAAATTTAATCAGATGTTAAAAAGATTGGTCTTCAAACATCATAGCCAATGATGCCACACTTGCCTATCTTCTCTCTGACATAAAATCACATCAGCGGCCGGGTGCGGTGGCTCAAGCCTGTAATCCCAGCACTTTGGGAGGCCGAGGCGGGTGGATCACGAGGTCAAGAGATCAAGACCATCCTGGTCAACATGGTGAAACCCCGTCTCTACTAATGGTGCAAAAAAATTAGCTGAGCATGGTGGCGCGTGCCTGTAATCCCAGCTACTCCGGAGGCTGAGGCAGGAGAATTGCCTGAACCCAGGAGGCGGAGGTTGCGGTGAGCCGAGATCGCGCCATTGCACTCCAGCCTGGGTAACAAGAGCGAAACTCCGTCTCAAAAAAAAAAAAAAAAAATCACATCAGCACCTCAGTGGCCACCAAACCATTCAGCACAGCTTCCTTAACTGAGTTGTTTGAAGCTACCAGTCTAAGCACTCTTGACTATTTTTTTCAGGCTCTGAATAGCTCTTGGGATCTCAGCAGGGGTGGAAGGAATCAGCTCAACCTTGGCGTAGTACCAAAATGTAGCTAATTGAGACTTCGAATAAGTCACAGCTGCGTTCACAAGCACCAGGGTCTTCTCTACAAGGTTACGGATAAATTGGGCCACGGTTCTGGGATGGAAAGCTCATTGCCCTGAATGGCCAGCTGAATCTGTTTATTTTTTGAGATAGTCTCACTCTGTCGCCCAGGCTGGAGTGCAGTGGCATAATCTCGGCTCACTACAACCTCTGCCTCGCAGGTTCTAGAGATTTTCCTGCCTCAATGTCCCGAGTAGCTGGGATTACAGGCACCCACCAATACACCCAGCTAATTTTTGTATTTTTAGTAGAGACAAAGTTTCACCATGTCAGCCAGGCTGGTCTCAAAATCCTGACCTCAGATGATCTGACCACCTCAGCCTCCCAAAGTGCTGGGATTACAGGTGGGAGCCACTGAGCCCAGCCTGTTTGCTTGTTTTTCTGAGACAGAGTCTCGTTGTGTCACCCAGGCTGGAGTGCAGTGGCACGATCTCAGCTCACTGCAACCCCTGCCTCCTGGGTTCAAGCAGTTCTACTGCCTCAGCCCCTCAAGTAGCTAGGACTACAGGCACGTGCCACCACACCTGGCTAATTTTTGTATTAGCCTCAAACTCCTGACCTCAGGTGACCCATCTGCTCAGCCTCCCAAAGTGCTGGGATTACAGGTGTGAGCCACCAGGCCTGGCAGTATTTTTTTTGTTGAGACAGAGCTTCGCCATGTTGGCTAGGCTGCTCTCAAATGCCTGGGCACAAGCCATCTGCCCACCTCAGTTTCCTAAACTGCTGGGATTATAGGCGTGAGCCACGGCACCCAACCTCCAGGCTGTAACTTGGTGGTGTCATTCACTGGGAGAATGAAAATAGGAGATGTCCTGAAGAGGAAGATGTTGAGTTCCATTTGACCCAAGCCGAGTTCTGATGCCCGCAGACTACTTGGTGGTAGAGAACATTAGTGAAGCAGCTTCATAAGCAAAACTGCTGAAGGCTTACAAGTTACTAGAAGTTGAAACAGTAGTGTAGACTACTATGACCAGCTTTGGCACACATGAGGGAAGCATGCCTGGGTTGATCCAAAATTGGGGTTTGATAGAATGAGAGGTCTTGGAAGGTCAAGTGAAGTAAGAAGTTGCCCTGAGAGTGTAGCTGAACATTCCTGGGATCCAATGAGGAAAAGTGAACCAAGAGAATCTAAGACCTAGACCAGTGCTTCTCAAATTTGAGCATCAGTATCCCCTGAAGAGCTCATGAAACCATAGCCAGCTGAGCTTCACCCCAGGTTTCTTTCTTTCTTTTTTTTTTTTTTTGAGACGGAGTTTCGCCCTTGTTACCCAGGCTGGAGTGCAATGGCGCGATCTCGGCTCACCGCAACCTCCGCCTCCTGGGCTCAGGCAATTCTCCTGCCTCAGCCTCCTGAGCAGCTGGGATTACAGGCACGTGCCACCATGCCCAGCTAATTTTTTGCACTTTTAGTAGAGACGGGGTTTCACCATGTTGACCAGGATGGTCTCGATCTCTCGACCTCGTGATCCACCCGCCTCGGCCTCCCAAAGTGCTGGGATTACAGGCTTGAGCCACCGCGCCCGGCTCTTTTTTTTTTTTTTGAGATGAAGTCGCACTCTGTTGCCCAGGCTAGAGTGCAGTGGTGCAATCCTGGCTCACTGCAACCTCCGCCTCTTAAGTTCAAGTGAGTCTCCTGCCTTAGCCTCTGGAGTAGCTGGAATGATGGGCACACACCACCACATCTGGCTAATTTTTCTATTTTTAGTAGAGACAGGGTTTCACCATGTTGGCCAGGCTGGTCTTGAACTCCTGACCTCAGGTGATCTGCCCTCCTTGGCTTCCCAAAGTGCTGGGATAACAGGCATGAGGCACTGTGATGGGCCCTCACCTCGAGTTTCTGATTCAGTAGGTAGGTCTGGGTTGGGGCCTAAGAATGTGCATTGCTGACCAGTTCCCTGATGCTGATGCTGTAGGCCCTGGGGAGCGGGGAAGCACACTTTGAAAACCCCTGGTCGAGAGCAAAGCGTTCGGCAGCTGGCAAACGTTGAATCATTTTCAGAGTGAATGGATGAAAACAGACGTCTTCTTCAGGAAGAGAGGTCTCCCTGCAGTCCAACACTAGGCCGACGGTAAGGCCACATGAGATAACGGCAGGGGGTAGGCAGAGCCCAACTTCAGAGTCTGGATTCAGAGAAGGAGAAATTTGGGAGGACAAGGTCCAGGACTGACCCTGCCAAGGTAATGATGGGAGATCAAGGAATTGAGTGTTACAAGGGTATTCAAAATGAATTATTTCTGGCAGAGGCTAGAGTTTAAAGGGAAGTTCCAACAGGAAGTGAAGATCTGAAGAGGGAAGTAGCTACGCTGGGGCTGAATTCTGTAAAGCTGACCCTGCGTAGGCCCTACAGACAGCAGCCCATCCAGAACTAGCAACACAGTCTCCGGGAAGTGTGCGATCCCTCAGTAACGACGCTGCACGCAGTGTAGCTTCCCTTACAGCTTCGCAGGGGCCGCGGCGAGCACACCCTGTGGGGGCGACTGTGACTGAGTTTAGTTCGTGGTCCCTCCAGCAGGCGTTCTCCTCCAGCCGCTGTACTGATGGGTGCCAGGGCTCAGGTGCTGACCGCGCTACGTAACACCTGTGCAGCCCTCCTCAATGTTCCTTACCTCTACAGGCCTCAGGTTTCCCGCCTAAAAATACGCTAATAATAGTAATAGTAAACCACACAACCTCAGCGAGAGGACACGGTGAGGTGATTAACGTAAGGCTGTGGTCATGTTGTCTACTACAGGTCCTGGTCAATGCTCAGAGTGGCGTGTGGCCTGCGAGCTTCACGTGGCTGGGGGCCCGTGTGGCCGCACGTCTGCAGCACGGCACCAACCTTTTGCTTAACCCGCCCGGCTGCCTCTGGGATGTTCGGGCCGCGGCCGGACTAGGGGGCCTGAAAAGGGTCTGCGCAGCCGCAGAAGGGCTTGCAGCGGCGCCTCCCGGCCGCTGGGAACCACGGGAACCGCTGGGTTAGCCCCGCCCCGAGGGGTCAGGGGTCAGGGGCCAGCGGCTGGTGAGGGATCTGCTGCTGGTGGTGGAGATACCCGGTTCCCGGCCTATGGCGCCGGCGCAGCGCTGCCCCCTGTGCCGCCAGACTTTCTTCTGTGGTCGCGGGCACGTCTACAGCCGCAAGCACCAGCGGCAGCTGAAGGAGGCTTTGGAAAGGCTCCTGCCTCGGGTGCGGAGGCAAGGCTAGAGATGGGCTGGGAGTGCGGGGCGGGTTAGTGAAGGCCAGAGCGGGTGTGATTTGGGGGTCCTCCTCAGGGTTCTACTTGGCCTCTTCGCCGCAGGTGGAGAGGGCCCGCAAGGCCATCCGCGCCGCTCAGGTGGAGCGCTATGTGCCGGAACACGAGCGATGCTGCTGGTGCCTGTGCTGCGGCTGTGAGGTGCGGGAACACCTGAGCCATGGAAACCTGACGGTGCTGCACGGGGGGCTGCTGGAGCATCTGGCCAGGTGAGAGCCGGGCTGGGAGCCTCCTCCAGCACAGACGCGTACATACATATACGGGAGGACGCTTTTGTGATTTGGTCAGGATGGATGGATTGAGTCACTTCACAGGTGTTGCCAGCCTTGTTGGGGTAGGGGTCGTATGCAGCCACGGTCCCAAGTGGTTCTGGTGGTCTAGCTGCGAAAGGCAGCTTGGTCACCGCCCCTGACTTCCCCTTGGATTCTCACAATTTTATGGGAAGAAAAGAGATGAGATCTTGGAGACTGATAACAGTGTTCCTCTCTCAGCCCTGCCCCAGGTAGAAACCCAGATGTCAGTTTGCACCGCAAACCTAATGTTTAATATCTGAGTAATATTTTATAACCTATAGCTGAGATTGCTTATCCTCTCCATTTTCAGCCCAGAGCATAAGAAGGCGACCAACAAATTCTGGTGGGAGAACAAAGCTGAGGTCCAGATGAAAGAGAAGTTTCTGGTCACTCCCCAGGATTATGCACGGTAAGTCACTCGTATTGAAGGTGAAGTAGCAGAGTGAATTCTCTGGATCCTTGTCAGGTATGGGAGGTTACTCTATTAACTAGAAAGTTCAGGAGGGACTTCTGAAGTATCTACTATTTTCACAACACTTATTATTCTAGGTACTATATTGGACACAAAAGTGTGACAGTTCTTGAGGTTTAGTTGGGGAATGGGATTTAGCAAATAGAGGACAATACCAAAAGTTGACTATTATCAACTACTTAAATGTGAGGCACAGACAATACTAAAGTTTGTTAGAAGAGGCTGTTTGTAGTGTGTAAGAAACTGCTACTCAGCCAGTACCTACTTTTAATATTTTTGAACTCGTATTTTTATTATTATTTTTTTAGGTGGAATTTTGCTCTTCTCGCCCAACACGGAGTGCAGTGGCATGATCTCAGCTCACTGCAAACTCTGCCTCCCGGGTACAAGTAGCTGGGATTACAGGCATGTGTCGCCGCACCTGTCTAATTTTTTTTTCTTCTTCTTCTTTAAGACAGAGTCTCCCTCTGTCACCCAGACTAGAGTGCAATGGCATGATCTCGGCTCACTGAAACTTCCATCTCCCAGGTTCAAGCAATTCTCCTGCCTTAGCCTCCTGAGTAGCTGGGATTACAGGTGCCCACCACCACACTCAACTAATTTTTGTATTTTTAGTAGAGACTGGGTTTCACCACATTGGCCAGGCTGGTCATGAACTCCTGATCTCGTGATCTGCCCACCTTGGCGTCCCAGAACGTTGGGATTACATGTGTGAGCCACCACTCTCAGCCTAATTTTGTATTTTTAGTAGACCTGGGTTTCACCATGTTGGCCAGGCTGGTTACTGATTCCTGATCTAAGGTGATCAGCCTGCCTTGACCTCCCAGAGTGCTGGGATTATAGGCGTGAGCCACCACACCTGGCCTCAATGATTTTCTTTTTTTTTTTTTTGAGACAGAGTCTTGCTCTGTCACCAGGCACCAGGCTGGAGTGCAGTGGCACAGTCTCGGCTCACTGCAACCTCTGTCTCCCGGGTTCAAGCAATTCTCCTGCCTCAGCCTCCCAAGTAGCTGGGACTGCAGGTGCACTCCACCACACCCAGCTAATTTTTTGTATTTTAGTAGAGACGGGGTTTAACTATGTTGGCCAGGATGGTCTCAATCTCCTGACCTTGTGATCTGCCCACCTCTGCCTCCCAAAGTGTTGGGATCCTCAATGATTTTCTTACTGGCATCTGGGAATTCATCTGCTGCCTCTTGGTTGGCAGAAGCTGCCCCTTCTGCTATTTTGACATATTTTAAGCCAAACCTCTTTCTAAAATTATCAAACCATCCTCTGTTGGCATTAAATTTTCCAGCTTTAGATCCTTTACTTTCCTATTGTTTTACGTTGTCATGTCATGACTTTGTTTTTTCTTGAATCCTATTAGAATCGGTAGGTAGGCCTTTCTAATAACAACCCTTTACCCACATAAAAGCTGTGTTTTCAATATGAAGATAAAAAGGTATTGTGCAAAGCATGCAAGGTTTTCATGCCTCCTGGAATAGGTGCAGTCATAGCTTCATGAATTTCCTTTTTTTTTTTTTTTTTTGCCTTTAAAAAACATTTTTTATTTTTTATTTTTTGCTGGGTGTGGTGGCTCACGCCTGTAATCCTACCACTTTGGGAGGCTAAGGCAGGTGGAACACCTGAGGTCAGGAATTCAAGAGCAGCCTGGCCAACATGGCAAAACCCGTTTCTACTAAAAATACAAAAATTAGCTGGGTATGGTGGTGGGTGCTTATAATCCCAGCTACTCAGGAGGCTGAAACAGAAGAATCACTTGAACCTGGCAGAGCAGAGGTTGCAGTGAGCCAAGATCACGCCACTTCACTGCAGCCTGGGCAAAAGACCGAAACCCCATCTCAGAAAAAAAGAAATTTTTTTCTTTTATTGAATCGGGGTTTTGCTATGTTGCCCAGCCTGATCTCAAACTCCTGGGCTCAAACAATCCGCCTGCCTCAGCCTTCCAAAGTGCTGGGACTGCAGGCATGAGCCACCATGCTCACCTCCCACTCTTTTTTTTCACAGGGGTTTTGTCAGTGTGCATGGATTAATTTGTCTTGATACACTGGGCAACTGCAGCTATAGATCTACAGTACATATCAAGCAAGTCAACTTTTTCTTTTGATGTCATGACTTTTCTCTGCTTCTTGGGAGCACTTCCAGTATCACTAGTGGCACCTCCTATAGGTCCCATGATACTATTCGTGGTTAATGGTATGACATTACTGAAAATACTTAAGATTACTTTTACCATGATATGCAGTTTACTGGAGAGACAACTGCTTTTAAGATGACTAGCATTACTCGTAACACTTGAGCTCACTGCAATAGGTGGCTACAAAATTGTGACAGTTGTACAATTTGGACTGTAATTTTATGCAGTTATGTAATATTGCATCTTTATGTTTGTTTTCATTTCTCTTTTTTTAAAATTATTATTTTTTTTAATAAAGACGGGGTTTCACCATGTTAGTCAGGCTGGTCTTGAACTCCCAAGGCGGGTGATCCACCCGCCTTGGCCTCCAAAGTGCTTGGATTACAGGCATGAGCCACCATGCCCGGCCTGTTTTCATTTCTCTTGACTGTGAATGTCACAATGTATGGTCTGTAAGTGTTTCTGTAAGTTTTGATTTTTTTTTTTTTTTTTTTTTTTTGAGATGGAGTCTTACTGTGTTGCCAGGCTGGAGTGCAGAGGCATGATCTCTGCTCACTGCAGAGGTTGCAACCTTCACCTTCCGGGTTCAAGCAAGTCTCCTGCCTCAGCCTCCCGAATAGCTGAGATTACAGGCACACACCACCACACCCAGCTAACTTTTTTTTGTATTTTTCGTAGAGACATGGGGTTTCACCATGTTGGCCAGGTCTTGATCTCCTGACCTTGTGATCCACCTGCCTGAAAAAAAAAGGGAAACTGGTCACATGACAGTTAGTATAACCAGTTGTTGTGACCTAGATTGTGGGTTAGAGGTGATAGGAATGGTATAAAAGTTTTTTTTTTTTTTCCTTTTTTTTTTTTTTTGAGAAGAAGTTTTGCTCTTGTTGCCCAGTCTGGAGTGCAATGGCATGATCTCGGCTCACTGCAACCTCTGCCTCCTGGGTTCAAGCAATTCTCCTGCCTCACCCTCCTGAGTAGCTGGGATTACAGGCACCCACCATCACACCCGGCTAATTTTTTGCATTTTAGTAGAGATAGGATTTCACCATGTTGGCCAGCCTGATCTTGAACTCCTGACCTCAAGTGATCCACCCGACTCGGCCTCCCAAAGTGCTGGGATTACAGGCATGAGCCAGCGCTCCCAGCCTAGAAAAAAGATTTCTATGTATACTTTTAAAAATAAGTTGTTTTGGCCAGGCGCAGTGGCTCACAACTGTAATCCCAGCACTTTGGGAGGCTGAGGCGGGTGGATCACGAGGTCAAGAGATCGAGACCATCCTGGTCAACATGGTGAAACCCTGTCTCTACTAAAAATACAAAAAATTAGCTGGGCATAGTAGCGCGTGCCTGTAATCCCAGCTACTCAGGAGGCTGAGGCAGGAGAATTGCCTGAACCCAGGAGGCGGAGGTTGCGGTGAGCCGAGACCACGTCATTGCACTCCAGCCTGGGTAACAAGAGCAAAACTCCGTCTCAAAAAAAAAAAAAAAAAGTTGTTTTTTTCTTTTTTTTGATGGTACATTTGGGAATTATACTGTAACAGGCATAAGAAGTAAGATTTCTACCCTAGGGACATTCTATATTCAGAATCCAATAGAAATATTTCGGTTATTTTTTTTGAGACAGAGTCTCACTCCATGGTCCAGGCTGGAGTGCAGTGGTGTGATCTCGGCTCAATGCAACCCCCACCTCCTGGGTTAAAGCAGTTCTGCCTTGCCTCCTGAATAGCTGGGATGATGGGGTGTGCCACCATACCTGATGACTTTTTTTTTTAATGGTGAAAAGATATACATATATTTAGAATTAGCCAGCTGCACTCAGTTGAGATGTTTCATGTTTTGTTGGCAACATCCAAAGCATCATAATCCGGAGCCAGTTGAACATAGGCCTTCATCTCTTCATCAGGCCGAATCAGGGTGTTGACCTTGGCCATGTCAGTGTCCAGCTTCTTCACAGCCTGTTTGATCTGGTGCTTGTTGGCTTTAACATCAACAAGGAACACAAGTATGTTGTTGTCTTCTATCTTCTTCACGGCTTACTCAGTGGTGAGAGGAAACTTGATGATAACATAGTGGTCAAGCTTGTTTCTCTTGGATGCATTCTTCCAAGGATATTTGCACTGCCTCTGGAGTCGCAGTGTCTTGGGCCACCAGAAGGTGGGTGATGTGCGGATCTTCTTTTTTTTGTGGCTGTGGACACCTTTCAACACTGCCTTCTTGACCTTCAAAGCCTTCACTTTGGCTTCGGCTTTAGGAAGGTCAGGAGCTTCCGTCTTCACTTTTGGCACCATCTTGTGAAAAGGAGCTAATTTTTCCATTTTTCTTTTTTTTTTTTTTTTTGAGACGGAGTTTCACTCTTGTTACCCAGGCTGGAGTGCAATGGCGCGGTCTCAGCTCATCGCAACTTCCACTCCATCTCAAAAAAAAAAAAAAAAAGAAAAGAAATATTTCTAATCAGACATTTCCATGGTTATAGATACTTGGTTGCTTGATTCATATGCATAGAAAGAAACAGTTGTTGTAACTGTAAAAAGCAGTACTTAGCGGGTATTTCTAAGTGATTAGAGTAGTTTTCCTTTAATATTACAATACTGCCTATTGGTTTGGAAATTAGGTCACCCTATTTGATGTTTTGAATTTACTCAAAAGCATCATGAATACTCTGCTTGTTCTTTCATTCTTTATAATTTTTTAGTTGAGTTAGGAACTATTTTATCAGAAATCATTTTAGCACTATAATAAGGGTAGATTACATACCATAATGACTGTCAGACTTTTTTTTTTTGGAGACCGAGTCTTA